GGCGAACGATTTGATCTGTAATTGATCAGTATCTATGCAACGCTACTCAAAAGGCCGCAAAAGGAAGTGGGAGAAGGACTCACATTTTTCCGTAAGCCCTGCATCGGGCACAACGATATAGTGCCCATCATCATCATCAACCGTCTGGCTCCGCTGGCCAGGAGGCTGTAATCTTTCGCATCAGTGCGCTGAAACAAGCAACATCGAAGCCTTTCATCGAATCACTTACATCATGGATGACTTTGACACGAACATCCGGGGCCTTCTTCGGTGGGAAGGGTGGAGGTTTGTACGTGAAGCATCGGTTACCGAGGACATCTGTGTCCCGCCGCTTGGCCTCATTCGCAACCTGCTGCCGAGTTCGTTTTCGTTTGAGTGGTATCAGGGACTCGTCATGCTGGCTCTGCGAAGACAGTGACGTGGGGGCCGTCGAATTTAAGGCCGATGTGGTACGGTCACTGGAGATTGTGGCGGAAGAAGCACTGTGGCCGTTGATGTACTGAATATGGTACCCTGAAGAGCTTGGTGCAGTCTTGGGGTCCTCGTCTCGTCTCCTCTTCCTGGTGGTTTGCCCGTTGGGAGAATTATTCGAGGCAGTTTTCTTGTTTGTGTTTTGTTCGACGGCGGCTGCCCGATTTGGGGCACTGCTTTGTTTTGCACTGGTGTCGGGTTCGGGTGTATCATCATCAATGACAATGATTTCGCTGGGGAGCCCATTCCGATAAAATTCCTTCCAATCAGGTCCATGGGAACGACGCCGCCTCTTGGCAGGCTGATTATGCATGTTGCTTCCTGTGTAGTGGGCGTCTTGTTGAGAATTCTGTCTGGAAGCGGAGTCCAGCAGATATTCACCCTGAGCCTGGTGTTGAGACTGGTGTGTATGGGCTGGAGGACGGGGGGGCTTTTGGGTTACGCCATCTGAAGGAGACGAGTAGAGGTTTTGCGTAGGATAGAAGGGTGGTAGTCTGGTCGATGTTGGGGTAGAGCAGGTTTCTGCAACAGAGGCGGTGGTCGTCGAAGCTGAGTATAGTGACGGCAGGCTCGTATGGTTGGTGCTGCTGCCAGTACTGGTATCGGTTACCTTTGTCGCGGTGGAATGTGAACTCGTAGGGCGGTAGTTGGCGGACACAGCGGGCTGGCCCTGGTGGTGCGAGTGTACGTAGGACGAGTGAGGGTGCAGATGAGGAGGGTGCGGGTGAGGGTAATGATGGGGATGAAAAGGAGGCAGCGTCGCCACGGCTGTCGTTGGCGTCGACATTCTGGCTGGCTTGCCTGACACTCTCGCGTGTTTCTCGACGGCAGAAGGGCGTGTGGTCAGTCGAAGAAGGACATGAGAGATCGACTCAACAACCGAGAAGGCCAAAGGGTCGACGGACTTCAAATGGGAGCGGATCGGAGAGCGAGGAGTCGGTACAGGTGTGGTGTGGGCCTTGAGGCACCATGCCCTGTGCTGTACAGTGCTGTGCTGCGCTGCGTCCGCTACGTACATGCCTACGCCTGCGCCTGTCGCCCACCCAGTCCGTGGAGGCAATCCCACAGGTGACTGTATGTACTGTACGGGCGCTGGGACGTGGCGCCCAAACTGCCTGCACGGTGCAGCGGCGAATAGTGGAGCCCCAGAGGTACTGTGGCGTCCCTTCTGACATTCTGTGCTAGCCTAGCAGGCCAGAAGGTACGTCCAGGTACTTTCCCTCGCTCTCATACGTCCGCTGGTTCAGCCCCGTTTAACACGCCCCAGTGTGTTTGGAACCACCCAGGTCAGAGGCCCAAGTTCTTTGGCTGTTGGCTGGCTCTTTTTTCTTCACGCCGTGGTTTGTCCTGGTACTAAGGCACATATGATGTGGATGAGCGGTTTCCTGTTTTCCAGCCTCTACTCCCGTCCATCGATCTAGGGCATCATCTCCCTCTAGTCGCAACATATGCAAGGCGGTTGCCGAGCAGGCAACTGGTCATGGAATCACTTCCTGATGAGGGTGGGAAAGTTTGATGGAGGGACGGCCAATGTGGTCCAGAAGGGACTAGAGCGGGCCTTTCCTGGACTTTCTGGGGGGGTGGAGGTGGCTTCCAGGGCTCCATTCGTGGAGCAGGGTGTTGGAAAGTCGTTACTCGTGGCTACTAAGGAAGACGAGCAGCCAACAGAGGCGGTCCCGGTCAGGATGAAGGGAACCGTACGGGAACGCATGATTGAGAGGATAACAATGCAGAATCACCAACGGAGAAACCCAATAGGCACCCGGGTAATCGCTGTCGGACGGGACTTCTGCACGATTCTCGGTAGCCCACGGGCATGTCGGGGTATAATACAATTCCAATGTGCCCGCATCCAAAGTCTTCACACGCGTGAGGGGAAGGGTACGCATTTCAGGTCGTGCACTGTACTGGGTGTCGTCGCCGGGTGGACTGATCGATCAACTTAAGTAATCATCTGTGATGATGGATGCCACCCAACGCCAAGCCAACTTTGCCATCCAACGCACACTCGAGGCGATGGAAGATGGTGCCCCCGCAACTGTCTCCCATCAAGATATTTCTCGTTCTGGATGGCTCCGTGGCCTCCAGAGCTGGACACCTGATACCACGTAGCAACGACGATGAGGCAGACACTGTCTGTAGTCACCTCCACCAGCTGTGAATGTTCCAGTTCGGTTTCTGGCCAGGGTAATTTTTTTCTCAGGCCAAGCCTCACTGTGCACGGTGGATGTCGCCTCCGGCAAGCTGCTTGCGCTTAAGCAGGGTCCCGAGTGGGCGGCAATCGAGCCTCGAGGCAGGTCGTTTGCGTACCTCAGGTACGTTTCCATTCCAGGCGGTGCGTAATAGCGCAACCCCGCCCCCCTGTGGCTTTCTCACCTCACCCCAAATACGCCTGAGAATGCGAGGGCCAGCGCTTCTCGCTACCCGACCAAGTGGGTGAAATAAAACATGGCTCACCAAAGCTCTCTTCGCGTAAGGCAGGGACCTCGTTTTTAAACTAGGTAAACATAATAATAAGAGAATATTAAAGTATTCTACGATATTTACCTTGATATGGCATTTATTATTAGCTTAATTATTCTGATATTGTATTGAAATTCAACGCGCTGAAATGTCTAGATGTGCCGTGTTTTATGTCAGTCGCTTGGCGACCTACCAAAGGAAACGCAGGGCGAGGCAATGTACCTGTCCATCTGCGGTCGGACATGAGGAGCAGCATGTACTAGCTCTGTACTGCCTCATACCTCAGCTGTGAATCAGCACGCAGCCCGTGAGTGAGACCTAACCCAAATTTCGTCTTGGCTCGAGGCACGAGGAGGAGCAAAGACTGAAAAGAGGGGGAAGATATTGTAGTCGGGCTTGTTGGCATGGCGTTGTTTATTTGTTTACCACCTCTACACATCGAGCCTCTACGATGGGGCTTTTCCTGGATGCTGTCTCTCTCATGCGCCAGACTATGGTACGTACTGCTTTGCTCCGCATCGTAGAGGATGCCGCTTATAGTGGATGGGTGTCACATCAAGGACTGCCTTGTTTGGATCACTTTTATGACAGTAATGTATGGACAAAGAGACACTGTATTTTATCTCTGACCGACCAGCCCAATTATTGCGGCTGGTGGGGACGGGTCGTGGCCAGAAACCGAAGAGCCTGTCACTTGCCAGAGCGAGACTCCAGGCTTACCTCACTCCCAGCAAGTAACTTTTCTTCACCTTGCCCACCACTCATCACATCCTCCAGACCAGGGGATTGGACCAGCCGTCCCGTAAGCCCTTTCTCAGTGCAGGCCTGTTCAACCCATGTAACCATTTGCCCCAGCGGTGCATGATTGCTGGCTCATCAAGTCTCCGGTCCCGTCAAACACGCCAGGATACGAAGCGCAGAGAGCGGCTCCTTCTCTTGGCGACAGTGAAAAACTGGCCGTACGCAGCCCGGTCGGTTTGCTCAGAGGAACGGTTGCTAGATTTCTTTCGGCGTACAGGGTCCTAGCTGGGGTCTCTGCCCCTCAACTCCGAATTAGCAAGGTGCATCCGTAACGTGTGGAGGACATTGGCGATATCACTCCCAAACAGGACCCGGTTTCCCGCTGCTCCACAGTGGTTTTACTTCCCTTTCTTGTCCTCCGCTGCATCGCTTCTCGTGCTTCGCATCTCCCAGCTGTCTTGGCTGCATCCACAGGCTTGACAACGGAGCGCCTCGCAGCTGGACAGGAGTACAACCCTACGCTAGAAGACCACTGGTCGCAGCCCAAAGCTGTGAGTGGCTCTGCGCGTTAAAGCGTAAACAGTTCACCCAGGCAAGCCAGCACGTGCATGGAGACAGAGTACATCCTCGTGCTATGACGGCGGCGCCAAGATGGTGTTACGCTGGTCCCAAGTCGTCCACCTACTAAACCCTTTGAGGGAGTATGGAAGCCCTTCGGACTCGCCCCTGTTGCATCATTCAAACACACTGTCTATTTACTTACGTATGTAGGCGTAGTATAAATCTTAATTGATCTAGCCTGTACGTACGTTGTAGGTCGGCTCAAAACCCCCAATTTGTCGACCCACTCTTTGTGGCGAAATTCAATTCATCCAGCGACATATCTACATGCATAAAGGGAAAAGGTAGCACCAAGACGACACCAAGTGTGAAATCATACGCTCTATGCTTGCACTATTTATCCCCCTTCCTGTTAATAGGATGATGTCACATAGATACCACTTTGCTATCTCATTGTCCTTCCGGCGACTCACAGCCAGTCGTCTACTGATGCCACCAAATTTATTTTGTATCAACTGACGGCCGGAACAAGCTCTAATCGCCCACCTGGAGAATGGCATTTCTATATTAAGTATCACCACGCCTGAACCGACGCGGTGCTTCCATTTCTGATGTCTTGGCTCGATATTTCGCCTCCGTGCATGCTACCACCTCTAAGAGCGACGCAGTTTATTCTAGATCGGGTAAATGCGGCAACAGGGTAATTTTACACTGTCTCTGTCATGGAGAAGCAACTATGCTTCGATGAAGAGCTGCTACGACGTTTAGAGGCCACGGTTGAAGATGACCTTGCCATCAACACCGCCTCTGCCATGGAACTCCGGCTCCAGGCTGTCTGCGCTGATCTTCTGATATTGAGGGAAGACAGATAGCGCTAGTGGGAGCGCCGCAAAGGAGGTGACGGCAATCAACGCTAGGTTGATGCCAATGGGCACTGTACCGGCAAGCTTGGGCCGGGTCTTGAAGAATTCCTTTGCCAGCAGGTTCTTATACCATGCCTGCTTGGTCTGGATGTGGTACAGAGCCAGCGCCGGCACGATCATGATGGGCGTGTTGTTGAAAACTCTGCTGGCGGCCGTCTCATACACGGCGAGCTTGGCTGCCTTCCTGCTCTTACCTAGAGCGGGGATATCTGTCTCCGACTTGCCTTCCTCCTGGAGTTTCTTCTTCTCTTCCTCGGAGAGGACGGGACGAACGTCGATGCCGGTCTCGATCTCTTTCCTTCGCATCAAATAGGCATTGAGGGCTCCGGCCGAGGCGACAGCTGCGAAGGGGACTAATCGCTGGAGGATGTTACGAGTACTGACTGACACCTTTAATCTAGGCACCATGGCATTCAGACCCAGAGCGACAGAGCACGAGGCTCCGACAGCGACAAAGTATGACTTGGCCAGATCGACAAAGGTCAACGGCGATGACTTGTTGGCATTTGCATTGTTGAATGCGACGTTGATGCTCTGGTTGACGACCTGCCAGGCGACGGTGCCTCCAGCGCCCAACCCGGGCTGCAGCATACCAGCCGTGACCACCAGATTGGTAAGGACAAAGCTGGACATGCGGAAAGGCAGAAGGATAGACTCCCCCGTGTCTGCAACATCATGTCAGTCCTCGGATCGATCGATATGCGCTGGCGGGTTGCCAACCGGCCGGCCTTCCGTACCTGGGTGAAGCGTAGAGTCGACAATCTTCTTGGCTCGCCATAGTTCCGGTGTCATGTGTTCGATCTTGCCCGTCTTGTAGTCAGTGACGAGTGTCTTAGCCCTCTCGAGACCAGTCTTTCCAGCGAGTAGCGTGCTGTGAGCAGTCGCATTGTCAGCCAATCGCCGCAATCCAAGACACTCGTCCGTAGACAGAATCAAATTCCCACATACCTTGGATCGGTGACCCCAATCGTATGCCGCACCCGCCCAAAGTAGGTGGTCAGATCATGCTGCGATGCGGGCAGCTCGCGAGAGCCCGGGAGCGAAGCCGACATGGTGTTTTGCTTTTCGATGTCGGATTTCGGCGTTGGGTTGCTGTGTTTGGTGTTCAAAGAATGAATGAGAGAATGAATGAATGAGGGCAAACCCAAGGACACCTCGCTCTGGGCACTCGTCGATCTCTGGCGACCCCGGGATCACTACTGAAGCCGATTTATGCACCTGCTTGCGAGAGGGGTGGCTATCGCAGTTCAGGGAAATAAGTAGTCGGGCCACAAAAAAGCGATGATAAGCGGGGCCCGATTTCGGCCGCCTGCAAATCAATGGATTGGTGATAGTCATACGCACATGTAGTTTGGCCGCCCTTGAGTGATTGATTACCCGTGACCTTTCCCCTCCTTACACACGTCTATACATCGCATGGCTAGAAATTGTTGCATTTTAAGAGTAATTGTGTAGCAGGTGGTAAGGAATCGGCTTACATTCGCCGCTGGCCTGTTTAAACCACACCTCTTGACCGAGTCTCCTCCTACAATCCACCTTCGACGAAAAAGACTGACAAGAGGACCTTGTGTGCCAGAAGGCCAAGACTTCGATTCTCAATTAACTTTATCACTATCAGTGCACAGATTGTTACCCAGAAGTAGCTGTTGTTTCTTCACCTGTGATGTTGGAATTCTTCCACCACTTCCACTCCTCTCGGGTGCTAATTAGTATCTGTTAGAGTTGACTTAGGCCGGTAGTAGTAGGTAGGTAGTAACGAGAGTCTTCTATTGTTTTAAGTAGGCACCTGAGGTAGTCAGTCATCTACCTAGGTACCTATAATACGCTGTTTCATCCGCGGGAAAATATGTGCGTCTTCCTGGTGATTTAAACCGTCCTTGAAACCCTCCCACAAGGTAGGGGATAGATAATAGGCAGAGGTAAAGATAGACCTTTATATATGATATTTCTGAGCACCGCATAGCAAGATATCTACCTCTACATAGCATTCAATGCGATAAATTGAAGTGTGAGACAGTTGTGCAAGGCACTCTACCTAGTTAGCAAGTACATAGAATATGAGGTGCGCCTGTCGCTCCTGCCTTGAGGCCTAGCTGCAGCCAACTGTAGAAGGCGCGAACCCCCGCGACCGCGTTCTCACTTTCACCTCACCTCTTTGTGAGACTGGCCCTTCTCTCTCTATCTTGCCTCCACTTTATCTACTATTTATCTGAGTTTCCTTCACAACATCTCTTTCTCTCCTCATCCTTCCCTTCTCATCCTTCTCTCCTCGCCCTTCTATCCTCATCCTTCTCAACATCTAACTCCCGAGTCCCATCTGATCGACGCTCTCTTCAGGTATAGCTTAAACTCGGAAGATCCCAGAGGGTATCGGTAGCCTTTGGCTTATCTCTATCGTTCACGAAAGGAAGCGCGTTTGATACAGTCCTGGTAAGAGAAAGAATATACATCAAACAATCTTGGCCTAGAAAGGTTCTGACTTTTGGGACAATATCTAGGCAGCATGGAGACAACACCCATGACCCCGGTGTCGGATAGACATCACGAAATCCTCGGGAATGCAAAAGGAAAAACCCCAACGGCTTTACGAGACTGGCTACTCACGGCTGCCACTCCTATCACGAAGGATGAGAATGCCTTGGGATCTGATGCTCAAGCGCCAACGCAGCCAATGAGCGCGGAAGTGGCTGATAGCTGCCTCAGCGTCGTGGGCAGCGGTACACTGCACGCTCTCTCTGCATTCGGCACCGACCCAGAAGCCGACCTTCAAGGCTCAGTTGAAAGCAGCGATCATGGAGGGATCAAGAAAAGCAGAGAGTTTCCACCCCTGGAATATATGAAAAATTGGCTGCTTAATGCAAGACAAACTCCTCCTAATGACCCTTTGAATGCACTCTCGGCCGATGAGCACTCACATAACTGCGATTTGGATCCAGCAACAGGAAATCTTCTCCCTCCTGTAGAATATCCACGAACAATGAGGAGCACCGAGAAACAGGAGGATGAGAATGTGGCATGGAGGGAAGTGATGGTTTCATCAAGCACTCACATTCAGCGAGCCATTGAAGGACTCTCTCTTGTCAAGGAAGAAAATGCCCTGGCAAAGACGGGAGAAACAGCCTCTCCATACCCGGAGGATCAGGGTGCTCCCTTCGCAGAATGCATCATCCGTCCGGCCAAGCCAAGTGATTTTGCAAAGATCGCTGCCATTATTAACCTGGAGGTTTCCACCACTCACTGCCCCCAGATCTTTGAGGGCCGACAAATTGTTGCGGATGACATTTTCCCCATTTTTAGGCACTGTCAGAACACCCTGAGGCCTTTCGTTGTGGCGGTTCCAGCCAAAGATGAGTTTCTCGATCCATCCAAGTGGCCCTCGGGCTCAGCAAGAGTATACGAACAGTTCAAAAAGTTCAAGGAAAGCCAAACTGTTGAAGAGGATACCTCGGTATACGGCTTCGCATTCATCGGCGAGCCTCAGATCGGCTTCTTGAACAGGCCATGCCAAGGTGCCCGTCACTCTGGGTTGATCAGGATGGTGGTCCACCCTGACCACCGGCGTCAACTGATTGGATCTGCTCTTCTCGAAAGGATGTTAACTTTGATTGATTCAGCTCACCACCAAATGGTCGACTATCACTGGGAGGGCGACAATTCGGAATCAATCTATGAGCGGTCTGCAGCTCGAAACACCCGACAGTACTCTCAGGTGTACATTGAGCTCTTCACCTCCAGAAAGGGAGACGAAAATTACGGATGGAAGTCAAAACTCCTTGATGATTTCTCTTTCAAGTGCATTGCTCGCTTCAACGACATGGCCAAAACTGACCGCGCCGAGGACAACCAGTGGCTTGATCTTACAATATGGGAGCACAAGATCAAGAAAGGGTCGAAACTGCCCCATGTGAGGGCTTCGGAGTATTTCGCCCCCAATCTGGTTTCTTAGGGCATTCGTGACGAGACTCACAATACCGCACTGTCGTCGCCGACAAGGATCAACTCTCTTGCCTGATTAATGATGCACCCTGTTGTCGAAAAAACCATCGAAAAGTGTGAGGTACGGAATATGGAGAGAATTTCGGAGAGTCGAGCTGTGGATAGGGAGGAAGAGAGATGTTTAGATAACATCCAATCAATGTGGTCTAGGTTCGAGCAGCAAGGCGAGGATGTGGCGATATGATGTGTTCGAACTTTGAATTTGCAGGGGATTGATCTTGAGGATAAAACACCACCAAATGGTGCGAGGTAGTGCAACGACTAAATCTGAGAAATTTCAACTAATTTGAGCAATATTCCGTGACGTATTTCCTACCATCATGGCTTGATGGAAATGTCTGGAGGTTAATGCTATGAGGGGCATCACGTGCGGGTACTGAGGACAAAAGGGAATATTTTCGAAAGCTCTGTGACAGAGACTTAACATAGTCACCTGCATGGCCGAAAGCAGCAGTGATAAGCCAACTACGATAATCAGGTGCTTTTTCATGTTTTCTAGAGAGCTTTCGAGATGTTGTCAATTTTAAGAAAAGCTCGTCTCAAGGACAAGGAGATGCGGATTTTGATGTTGTAAGCCACAGGTTCTCTTCCCAGCAGCAGCGCGGGCCATGCTGATAAACGATCCCATTTGCGTGGCGCTGCAGAGGCCTGGATAATGCGGGCAAGACGACAATCGTCAAGAAGATTATGGGAGAGGATGTCAATACGGTCAGCCCAACCCTGGGTTTTATCATTAAAACTATTGATTACGATGGGTGAGTGATGGGCTGGGGTTCGCGGCGAAGTGGGAGGCACCTTGTAAAACGACGGCTGACTTGAGACACAGTTACAAGCTCAACATTTGTGAGGAGCTCCGAGGCGGGCAAGAGGGCACAGGGCTAACGGATGTTTAGGGGATGTGGGAGGGCAGAAGACCCTCAGGTCATACTGGAGGAACTACTTTGAAAAGACAGACGCCTTGATATGGGTCGTCGACTCTACGGACCGGCTGCGGATTGATGACTGCCGCGTTGAGCTGCAAGGCCTTCTCCAGGAAGAGGTGAGGATGGAGACCGAGCCGTGCTCTGTGAACATGGCGCGAGCCTCTCGGGTGTTTGTTTATTTGGCTGACATCGGGGACAGCGACTGGCCGGTGCCAGCTTATTAGTATTCGCCAACAAAACGGACGTTGAGGGTTGCATGGATGAGCAGGAGATCTTATCGGTATGTTGCCGTGCCAATGGCGATTAGAGGAGGGGTGGAGGGGCAGAGCGAAGCCTTTCTCGAGGCATTGACGTCGCTGACATTTACTATCCTGCAGGCACTCGAATTGGAAAACGTCAGAACACATCACTGGCATGTGCTACAGTGCAGCGCGATGACGGGGAGAAACCTTAAGGAGGGCCTGGCATGGGTTGTTGAGGACGCAAAGAAGAGGCTGTTCCTTTACTAAGATCTCACCGACAATGGAGTCGGTCAACGAATCTTGTTTTCATTGCCCTGAAAATAATAATCTTCTTCTACCTTCTTTTGGGAGGGACACAAGGCCCGTGCCCGTTGTCAAACACGAGATGATGTAGTACGCCAGGGGTGAGCAGTACTGAAGATGAGATGCCCCTGGCTTTTTTTGCGTTGGCCCATGCCACCAACATCGTACCTGTTGCTCGCAACACTAGGTATGTAGATACATATATTACAAATCTACCATGTTTCCTCCCAAATCATGCGATTGGTACACTTTAGATTGAAGAGTGGATCATCTAGAAAACAGACGCATCCATGCAAATGCAAACCTTGGTTTGTTTATTGTTTATGCGTCGCTGCGAACTGAACTGGCTCAGGTGAGATCCCGAAGCCAAGAAGCAATATCCGCAAGACAGGTCTAGCGCTGCCGCCGCCCTGTGATTTCGCAGTTTGTGTGTGTCGATTCAGGACGGATGCAACCCGCTTCAAGCCGTCATGCAGTAGTAAAAGCGGCCAGGTCCTTGCCGTAGAGGTCGATAGCAGGACGTTAGTGGCCAGCGGTCGCTGACCAGTTAGGCCTAGCTACCGGGCAGCTTACTGGCAATTACTCAGGTCTCGTCTATTGTTAGCTGCCTGCATACGAGACAGCGCCTGATGGTAGCCCACCGAGCAGATCTATCCTTTCAACATTAGAACAATTTGTTTTCCACTCTCTCCTTTATCCCTTTGAAGAGCGACATAGGCTCGCGACGGGGCAAGTACAGCCAAGAATTAGAAAAACGCAGCGCCCTGGGTCATGCAATGACCTGATTGAGATCAAGCAATGTCCGACGAAGTATCCCAATTCCTCGAGCAGGTCGAGCGCCTGCGAGGCCAGACGGCCGACGAGGACGAGGCCCGAGCCCGCGAGCATGAAGAGTATCTAGCAGCCAAGAGAGAGAGGCAAGCTCGTAGAGAAGGTGAGTGGGGTGCTATATCTAAAAAATCTTAAATGCTTGTTTGTTTTGTTTTCCCTCGCGGACTAGCTTGGCATGCATTGATGCTGTTATTATTACGGCAACGGCGTCATTTCCATCGAGTATTCAAGATGGGCCTTGGCCCGACCAGCGACGACCGAACCTCTACCCCAAAATCTTCCGTCGCTTGGCTAGGAACAAGAACCGCTCGTTTCCGCTGCTCCAGGACCTCGCTGCAAGAAACCTTCATCCATTGAACCGCCTTCCACCAACGGGCCTGTCACACAGCTGTGGACGCATGTGCCGTAGCTGACAGATTGCCCACTTTGCTATTTTTTTTTTCACACTTCTTCTCTAACCAGCTGCCATGATTAGAACGCGCTCGGTCAATCTCTCCACAGAAGTCATCACCTGCAAACACACCGTCGCCTCGCTCGAGCCGTCAGATTGCGCGCCTGCCCGAGGCTTCGAAGCTCGATTCCCCAACCTCGAAACCCATCCACTCGCCCCACGAGCAGTTCTCAGAGGCAGAAGCGAAATCGCCGCCCCCGATGGATTTCCCGTCCTCCACGTCTCCCACAAAGGAGAATGAAGGTCTCGGGAGCTTCGAAACCGAAAAACCAGCCTCGGAGCAGAGGTCTTCCAACAGAGGGTCCGGCCTCTCCTGGCAAAAACGGCCGACTTCCCGCAACGGTCCGGGTGGCCCGCGGCCGCTTAGTATGGTTGCGACCCAAAATGCGACCCAGAAGTCTCTTGTCGGGTCGCCCGCATCGCCTGAAGCCCAGTCCGCAACGGAGACGAGCTTCTCGAGAGATCAAATAGCACAGAGTCTCGGGTCCAAGGACCCTGCGTGGTTCCGCCAAACTGCCGATAGAGGCCTCAACTCCGCCGCTTATAGGAAGAACCAAGTCGAAGATGACGAACGCGCAGATCCCTCGTCTGTCAAAGCACAATTGCCTGGCATGTACGCCGAACCTGCCAAAGAGAGCGCCCCGGAGGCAAGCTCCCCCATCCGTCGCTCAATCGCGTCTCCTCCGACTTTGAACCCTCCTCGATTTGACAAACCTATCGAGGGAAGCTCCTCGCCCACCGGTCATACAAGATCCCCGTCAGGTTCTCCCACCCGATCTACGTCTCCAACCAAGGGAATGGGCGGCTTTGTGCAGAGCGCTATGATGAAGAGATCGGACAGTGTCAAGCGGTGGAGTGTGCAGAGCCCCCCTGGCCTGGCACGTGCCAACACGCTTGCATCCAATCGCTCAGGTCATGCCAGAGACACATCGATCTCGTCGTCGAAGCCCGCGACACTTGCTCGTGGTAACTCGGCCACACCAAGCTCGAGCGTACCGGTTTCCCCCCATGATGAGAACGATAACAGCAATGACACAACCCCTCGACCTTCAGGCACAGATACAACAATGGAATCAAAACCAGATCTCGGAGAAGGCCAGGATCAGCCAATCCCCATCAGCCCCTCGAGGACCATGGACCCACGACGTTGGAGCCCAACCAAGGGAAGCTGGCTCGAGAGCGCACTCAACAAGCCCGAATCGCCGAAACCACCTCAGAAACCGAACAACTCGACACAGCCAGCTTGGATGGCTGAACTGAACAAGAACAAGAGCGAAAGAGCTGGACCTGGGCACAAGCATCAAGTCAGTATTGGGGGACTTATGAGATCCACACCAATGGGCGACGCTGCGAAACCAAATACCACAGGTTTAGGAGGGATCTATTCGCCACCGCCTGGCGGCAACCGACCTACATTCGGCCATAGGCCCCAGCCTAGCATATCAAAACCTGTTGCTGAGCCAAGTGCTTCCAAGGATGAAGTGGACGAGGTTGACAACAGCGAAGCAGTGGAGGCGGAACAGCAAGCTGGAGGCAACACGGATTCGAAACAAGCTACAATTCCAAGCTCAGTGACGAGTCCGCCTCCACTGAAGCCAAAGCCCGAAACCCCACCCAAGAAGGATTTCCGCGGGAACCTGAAGCCACGACCTGTGCAGGAGGGACCAAAGGGCACAAACGAGTTGGAGTTCAGACGTGCTTTCGGCAGCCTACGGAAAGCCAAGACTCAAAATTACGTTGCCCCTGATGAGCTCAAAAACAATATTCTTCGAGGCAAAGCGGCCCTGAACCTGACTGGTGGACCGCAAAAGTCAGAGATCAAAGACGAGTTCAAAGACGCTATCCTCAAGAAGAAAGATGATTTCAAGAAGGCACAACTAGAAGGTAAAGGCATAACCAGAACCTCATCCTTCGATTCTGAAAAGCCCGTTCCAGAGGGGCTTGCCCGGCGGGCGGAGCTCGGGAGACCACCAATAGGTTTGAAAAAGGAGCCTGTTCCCGTGCCGTCAAGATCACCTACGATTGGGGGCACCGATCCAAAGTCGCCTCCGGCCTCCACTTCCCTTGGTAGCTCTTCTCCAGAGCTGAAGCAGTCTTCGATAGAAACTGAAGTGAAGAAGGAGGCGCCCGTGGCGCCGAAGATCCAAGGTCGTGTTGGCGGAAGCAAGCTCGCAAATCGCTTCAATCCAGCACTTGCCGGCATGCTTGCACGCGGTCCACCTCCAATGGCTACTGATGGTGGGAACACCTCTCGAGAGAGTGCTCGAGAGACCCAAGGAGCTGCAGAACAAACCAAACCCGGTCCTCAGTTGACGCATATGACTAAAGGCCGTGCCCGTGGACCCAAGAGAAAGGCGCCATCAACTGCAGCACCATCCCAGAAAGCCCCGGCTTCGACTCCAAGTGCAGACATAGTGACAAAGCCATCCAAGATTGACGTTGCTCCTGCGGCACTTTCTCCCATCTCACCTAATCTAGAGGAGTCGGTAAGTTCTAAACTTGGAGGGTTAGAGATATACGACAATACCAGCCCTGTCAGCTCGCCACCTCTGTCAATTCAGCAACAGGTTGCTGCCAAAGCATCTCTCCGTGGTAAGATCTCTCCCCCCGAGTTACGGAATACTGCGGTTCCCAGTAAGCCTGCGGCTGTGGATACAGTACAGTCTCCTCCGTTCCGCAGACAAACAACAAGCCCAGAGAAGGAGACGGCCCGCCCATTGTCGCCTCTCAAACCCCATAAGACGGGCGGAGATGTCTCCCAGCCCGGATCGCCCAAGAAACTGGACGCCAAACGGATGTCTAAGTTTTTGGACGATTCTTCATTGAGCAGTCCTAAACCAGAAAGTCCACGAGATACTTGGAAGCTCGGCCACCAAAGGACTGGGTCAAGGTCACCAGTGAAGAGGTTCGATACTCCTAGCTCGCCGGTGAAGAGAGATGAGCCCCCCATTTCACCTCTCAAGAGAGATGCGGCGCTTTTCTCACCAGTAAGAAGAGACGAGGCTCCCAGCCCACCTGTGAAGAAGGAGGAGACGCCCAGATTCAGAAGTGAATCGTCATTCAAATCCATTGGGCAGGAAACGCCTAGCTCACTGGCAACGCGAAGAGAGTTGCCTAGCCCACAATTGAAGAGAGAGGAGTCTCCTAGGCTGAGAAATGAATCCTCCTTCAGCCCTCCCAGGCAGGTTGCCCCATTGAAGCTTGCTTCCAGAAACGGCCCTGAGGCTCGGGCCTCCCCATCTCCTGGACCAAAGCCACCCGCGTTCAGCCCAGCCTCGCCCGAATCGTCCATTCGATCAGCTCGGCCTCTTCCAAACCCACCTAGCCGACTAGTTTCGCCCACGAAAGTGCCTACACCCCTCCCTTCACCATCCAAACTGACGACCGAAGTATCGCTTCTTCTCAACGATTTCTTTGGACCCAACCGACCCAGTGGTGATTGCCAAGTTGATGCCACATCCATCATTACACAGAGACCAGAGGTTGGTGCTAAGGTCGACACCCTCGGAGCTCGGATGTTCCAGATCACAGGTGACGGCAAGAAAAGGCCAGTTGATCCTCAGTTCGGACGCACACTATTCGAACGGGAAATGTATATTGTTGCACACGACTTCAAAGATGAGTCCGGAAGACCCACGAGTGAGACCTACTTCTGGGCTGGTGACGAGGTTCCGGAGTCGACAATCGAAGATGCACAACTTTTTGCTGCACGAGAAGCCAGGTCTCTCGGTGGAAAGCTCGTGAAGCTTCGCCAGGGTAAGGAGTCTATTAAATTCCTCCAAGCCCTTGGCGATGTCATTATTACTCGGAGAGGGTCCAGCGGCAAGTTTGACTCCCTCGCGCCCTGTATGCTTTGTGGCAGACGATATATGGGAGAGGTGGTATTTGACGAGGTCGACTTTGCCATGGCCAGTCTCTGTGCCGGTTTCCCCTTCGTGGTTTCCAGCGGCGGTAATTGCTTCGTGTGGCAGGGTAAAGGAAGCACGGTGGACGAGGTGAGCTGCGCAAAGCTCGTTGGGATGGAGATTACCATCACTGGCGACCTGACTGCGCTGGAAGAGGGTAGCGAGCCAGAATCGTTCTGGAGGATGTTCGAGGCTGGCACAAAGCCGCACTCGGCTGACCATTGGAGACTCAAACCCAACTATGACAAATACAGCGCCCGTCTCTTCTGCTCAGATGCAGAGTCGAGGCAGCAGGTACGTTGAACTCGTAATTATAACAATCTCTCAATTGTTCACTTCTAATCATTGTCTGTGCAGATCTTTGAAATCTCCCCCTTCAGTCAGGCGGATCTCTCCCCCTTCAGCATCTACGTTCTCGACGCCTTCTTCGAGATGTATGTCATTGTTGGATCCAAGGCCCAGTCCCAATTCACCTCATTCCGCAACGGTCTCAGCTTCGCGCAAGATTACGCCATCCTAGCCGCCTCCATCGAGGACAGACCCTTCATCCCCGTCTCTACAGTTGTCCTTGAGGGCGTACCGAGAGACCTGAAGCGGGTATTCCGCAAATGGGAAGATGAAAAGAGCCCCACGGTCATGAACCAGCCACCAGCCGCGGGTGGTGGTCTCAGGAGAGGGAGGAGCCTGCGGGTCGTGTCCTTGACTCAGGCCTTGCTTGCGCTTCAACAGTGATGTCAATCTGTGTAAGCCCCGGCGTGCTCCAGAAGGGTACAACGGGTTGTTGAGCTTTTGGCACTCTATTTTTGATTTCCTGTCCTGTCTCACGTGTTTCATGATCTGCATAGGCCCTGCATGAAGCGTCTTTGGTTTTTGGGGTGATTTTTTTTTTTGGTTGCTTTTATCTTTGACATGTGATAAAAGGGGTGGCGCAAATGTATCAATGTATATTGTTGGGGTTATTTTGCTTCATGGTACCACTTTCATCGTGTGTAACCCCGGTGGGAAATAGAGCGCATTCGGGCCAAGCGGCACAATAAGAAAACAAAAATTAACAAAATTTCATGAGTATTCTTTTTCTATGAACATGCGACCAGGTATTACCCGCCCTGGCCAATCGTACGTACCTATTCGTCTATACGGCCACACTTCAAAGACGGAAACTCATCCCTTTTTCTAGCCGTCTGCAGCCTCTAATGGGTATCAAATAACTGGTTGATTTTCTCACGCCTGCCCCCCGTCTCCCGTCTCTTTCTAATTTCGTTGATTCCTGCAACATGCATGTTCCTATGCGTGGCCCTCTTTCGTGTGTATACAAAGGAATAGATAAGAACCAAGAAGAAAAAGTCATCTATTTACTGTGTCTATCATGAAGAAAGAAAGCCTTCTCTCGATATCGATTTGTCAGTCCACTTAAAGGGGAGAGGGGTCGCCCTACTTGGAGCCGGTGTCGATGCCGGTGGACGTAGCGTTGGAGGAAGCTCCGGTATCGGCAAGCATGACGACCGGACGGCGCTGGGCCTTGGCGGTGAGCTCGATCAGTTCCTTGAGCATGAGCTCCCTCGTGGTTCGGGTGAGTTCTTCGACGTCACTGGCCTTCAGGCCCTTGGTGGGGATAGGGTCCAGAACTGGATTGGGGTTTCAAAGTTAGTCTATTTGCGATCAAGTAAAGGGAATAAAAAGGACAGGGTATGTATGAAAGGCGCTTCCAGTAAGGGTTACCTTTGATGGGGATTCTGCCAGCGTTGAAGACGAAGCTCTTAATGTAGAGAACGTGGCTGTAGTTGGCCACGACGACCGGGACGATGGGGACACCGGCCTGGACGGCGAGGTGGAAGGCGCCCTTCTTGAAGGGGAGCAGCGCGGGCTCCTTTGTGTAGCTGCGCGTGCCCTCGGGGAACATGTAGACGCTCTGCCGCCTCGAGGTGATCTCGTTGGCGGCGCCCTGCATGGCGTCGCGGGCGTCCTTTGAGTTCTTGCGGTCGATGAAGATGGTGCCGCTGAGGCTCATGAACCAGCCCAGGACGGGGGTCCTCTTGAGGCTCGACTTGGCCGTGACGCTGCACCACTTGGGCCACATGGAGGCGAGCATGAGGACGTCGAGCTCGGTCTGGTGGTTGCCGATGAAGACGGCGGGGCGGGTGGTGTTGAGGACGTCTTTGGGGTCCTCGATGTCGAAGGTGATGCCGGTGACGAGGAGCATGGTGTAGTGGAAGGCCCGCGCGGTGACCCATTGGGCTATTCCCTGCTTGCCGGCGAGGGTGAGGGCGGCGGAGGAGACGATGCCCCAGGCGGCGCAGAGCATGAGGGCCATGTACGAGGCCAGGACTCGGGCGGCGAAGGACGCCTTCGGGACCACATAGGAGAGCAAGTAGAAGGATGTGGTGATGAGGGCGTACCACAGGAAGAAGTTCACGAAGTAGTAGGAGGTGAACATGGTAGCGGTTGTTTGCAGGTCAGAGAGGTGTATAAGAGTCGATGCCGAGGCTGAGGGACCAGTTGCGACGATGGTCTAGAGGTGATGATGAGGGGTATTGGGTCGTAAAGAGCGGTAGGCGAGGGATCTGTGGTCTATATCATAAAGCCATAGTCAGGCGCAGCGGGCGGAAGACGAGCGGGTGTAGGATGGATGTGCGCGTGCTGCTCGAGGCAGTTGGAAATGGGGTGTCAGCTGTCCCGGCCGAGTCAGTCAGTGCCGGCAATCGATGTGTTGCATGTGGAATGCAAGGTATAGAAAAAAAAGCTTGGGCATGACGGAAGGGTGGTTCAGTTGAGGTGGGGTTGTGCCTGTGGTTGGGGAAATTGAGGATCGCCGGTTGGCTCAAGGCGCTGGGGCTTTTGGTGGGGCGAGTGGTGTGAACGTGGTTGTTGACGATGGTTGAGGGCAGTGGCCTTTCAGCGAGCTGCCTTGCGTGGCAGGTCCCGCTAGCCACCCCTAGAGGCGCTAAGGGAGGGCCGCTAGAAGCCGGAGGAACCACTGGTGGGCAATGTGGTGGAGAGCAAAGGGCCAGCCGGCAGCAGCGGGCATGATGAATCGTGAATGCCGCCGACTCGTGGCCTGGCGATTCAACAAAACATGGAGATGGCTTGCTGGGTCAATATACGGCATAGCCGTAGCAGGAGGTTCCTCGGTCAACACAGTCCATCACAGTATCATTGCCATGCAATATGGGCAGTACTACCCCCATCCGCGGACTCCAATAGATAAGTTAGTACGGTAGCCAGAAAATGTCTGTACACCGACTACTATCTGTGTACACTGACCGGAAGCAGGTAGATAATGAGCATCGATTAGTGGACGGCGGCAGATGCGCTAAAGGAGCGATTGCTGGCGGACAAATCGTGACACCGAGGGAAGGCGGCGCCCACCTCAGCCATTATCACGTGGCAGTCACTTATTGCCTTGGACAATCCAATATCAGCTCGTCCAGCAGTCGCAGTGCTTTGCGGCGCTCAGCTCGACGGAACAATGCCCACCTCACCTCACTTCCTGGTCCTCCGGCCTGGGCTATCTCTTGCAGCTCCTCCAGCGGACTCCACCCAGCCTACTGCCTGCCCAAGTAGTAATCCGCAGGCGGAGGTTCAGCTAACGAACTGACAACCTTAGCCCACACCACACACACCGTTAACCCCCAGCTAGCAGCAACATCCCGGACGGCTTGAATACCTTGACCCAACGTGGACACTTTGGACTTCCGCACCCACCTCACTTTGCAACGCCCTGTCTAACAATGCTGCGCGCCTCTCATCTCTGATCATCGCTCCCTCACAATGGCCTCATTGCGCCGAGGAGGTCGGCCCTCGCTCTCATTTACGATGCCGAACAGCACCAGCAATAGCAATAGCAACGTCACCCTGCCCGAACGGCCCCCCATTGATGCTCTGTTCCTCATCGACTTCGACGTCAAGAAGGGCTACACAATCGTTTGGAAGCGCACCGCCGATGGTATCGATGTCGATGGCCGTGTCGAGTACAAGTCCCTGCCCTCGGGCCTGCACACCGTCACCGACGACCTGATCTACTTCGTCCACGACGGCGCCCATGCCGGCCTCAGCGCCTTCATCAACACGCCCTGCGACGAGGAGGACGCCAGAAATGCTCGCATGATTGCCGTCGGGGTTCTGGTTCCGCTGAGCTTTGGACGTCTGGGCCGGGCATGGCGCCATGCGCAAGGTCTCAAGGACTTAGCAGCGTGAGTTCTCGCATAAATTGGGTGCATCACGTCTTGCGCCCACGAGGGGCCCTTGCAGATGGATGCATGACTGATTGATTGATCGATCGATACTAACGCCTGGGCAATTAGCAAGCTAGTCAAGGATCGTAGTCAAACCTCGCTTCTGCAAGCTTATTGGGATGACAACAAGGCAAGCAAAGACACCCCCCCACAAGCGAGCTTTGGGGAAACCCCTCTCAGCACACCCGCCGTCGTCGCCTTCTCAGAACCAGCCGATCGAGACCAGCCGAAGCGGAAAGGGCATAATAGAAACAGATCGGCATCCGATGGAGCTTCGCTTGCTCCCCCTGAACACAAACTCTCGCCATTCCATCCCGCTTGGAGCTTGACCAGCCTGTTGGATAAATTCGGCCCACTGATATTCCCCATCTACCGAGCGGCTCTCCTGCGACAACGCATATTAATATCATGCCATGCACCCGTGCATGAGATTTGTGATTATGGTATGCTCCTCTCCCTTTAAAACAAAGCAATGCAGCCAGCCTCGTGCAGTTTGCTAATTCCGCTTGTGTTAGTATATAACCTCTCCGTGCTGTCAAACATCCCCCTTTCCTTATTCAACATCCTACCAGAGAATCCTCAGACGCAACGGCTTAGACCTCTCTTTACCATTGGAGTCCACGACATCCCCTTTCTTACCGAGGATTATGAGGCCGCCAAGAGGCGCGAGCAGGGCGATCTCGTCATTGATGATGACGAGGCCGGCTCTGGATGGATTGCCTGCACGACCGACAGCATTCTGGCCATGAAGGATACGCTTTGGGATATGCTCATCACCATCCCCCCCGACCACACAACGAATAGCAAAGAAAGTCCATGGCCTGTAGTCGAGTGCCCTCGCGGGATCCCCATCAAGGCCACCCAACGCGATCTCCGTCGGTTTAATGCTCTCCGTGCTGGGCTCGCCCGTCTAGTCCCAAGCGGACCAGCCCCCGACTCTCCGGTATCAGACCATGCCAGGCGGCCTTCCACCAGCTACTCGATCAAACAAAATGCCGATGACTCATTTGAACAGTTGGTCGAGCCTCTGACCTGGTCCGCTTTTGCGTACAACGGGTACATGTGGTGGGCCAGCGCCGGGGAACAATTGCGGTCTGAAGAGCAAGAAGAGTCGGCACGGGATGCTGCCTTGCTTGCAGACCTTGAGCACCCATCGGCTCAGAACTCAATGTCCATGCCAGGGCCAGGATCCCGCGCCGATCCTCTGGCCGACTCCATCTCGTCTCTAGCTGCTCGCCGCAATGCTGCCGACCCTGAAGGTGAGGCTCGTATTGAGCTTGCTGTGGTTACGTACTTCCATCGTCTCACGGCCCAGATGCTCTCCATTCTCTCAGATATTGTCGAGGGGGTGGATGGGGCTTACCCACTAGACGAAAGTGATGGAGAGGAAGAAGGCGATGCACTCCTCAGCGGCCAGAGCACCCCGCGTGCCATCACCATCGACAACCGTGCTGTGGACAACATGGGCCTGGACGTCTGGAGTGCCAGCGATGCAGCATTCGTACAGGGCCTTGTGAGAACCTACTTCGATAGGACTGCGAAGATTGAAGGCAAAGGAATCGAAGTCTGCGGCGTCAGAGTCTGTTGATGGTCATGATCATAGACTGTTGTCCTCGCACCAGAGCCTGCTGGGCGAGTCATGTTTTTCGACACCCTTCCCGTCTATATTTTTTGTCATACCTGAGCGAAATTATTTGGAAGACCGCAAGGTTGGGTTTTATACATGTAGAAAGTGGATTATCACATGCGGATGGGCAGCGTCGTGCAACATACGGTGTGTCGAGAGGCAGGGTCAGGCCGCGGGTCACGACTAACAACCCGTCCGTCTCGCCCACCACCCCCTCTACCTTTCCAGGACAAGCAGAAAGAAAGAAGCATCATTTGCTTTCGCGCTACGGAGTTCAAGGAGTCGAATCAACGGGGTTTAATATATTAATATCTAGCTTGCTTCCGGTCCAGATCAGATCTGCGCACCTCCCAGGTATATGCTTTCTATAGGGAATCAATGAATCACGGGACAACTTCCTTGTTGAAACCCCCATTATCTCGATCCTGTTAACAAAATTCCGATGAGAAGTTCAAATAGTTGATAGGAAAAGAGTATACTGTGTCAAATAAAATCTAAAAATCCCAACGAAGCCTCTGCCAAAACTCCCTCAGTAAGTAAACCTGACCAAACACACATGCGTTGGGCGACATTATCAAGCCATTGCAAACCCGTCTCATGTGGCAACTTTTTTATATCAAGAATACACATTTGAAAAATGGTTCCCCAAGTAAAAAAAAAAGGACGGTTTCGCTACTAATATGCCCAGTTAAAAGCTTCACAAAGAAACGCAGTTTTCTTTTTTCTACTTGGTTTCTAACAACATTTGCGCCCCGGCCCCGCCTCCTTACGACTCATCCTCGGTGTCGGTGTTGGTTGCGCTGGTATCGTCCTCCTCTTCATCGTCGGTTCCACTCTCCTCGTCGGAGGAGTCATCGTCATTAGCTGGTCGGCGGCGGGGCTTGGGAGGGGGAGCTCCGCCCTTGAGGGCTTGCATCTGGCCAGCGAGGGAATCTGCGATAGGTGTGTTAGAAGTGATGCATTGAGTAGATGTGTCAGAAGGAATAGGTACTTACCCTCATCGGGCTCGCTGATCTCGTCTTCGGTGCTCATCGAGACGGCCTTGTTGGCCTCCTCGACAACCAGGGTGACCTCCATCTTCGTGTCGAAGCCAATGTAGGAGTCGCAGATCAGGTGCAGGACGAAGGTGTAGTGGCCCTCCTGCGGGGGCGCGGCGAACTGCGCCTTGAGGGTCTGCATGGCGAACGTGGGCTTACCCTGCGCGTCGAAGATGGGCTGGTCGAACTTGGCGAATGTGAAGGGGGGCACGGCCATCTTGCCCTGCTTGGAGTCGCTGAGGAAGGCGTGCCACTTGGGGGACTGGTCGCGAGGGTAGTGGGGGGCAAAGGTCATGGGCGGGAGGATGGATTGCTTCTCGACGGCAACAAGCTTTCCGTCGGGGCCCTTGACGATCTGCTTCTTGCCGTTGATGGCGTCCAGGTCATCCTCGGCGGGATCAATGTCTTCCAGGTCGTCTTCGTGAATCTTGGGGACATTCTTGGCGCCGGGGGGGATGAACCGACCCTTGATGACAAGGGTCACCAGAGAGGCAGGAGTGATATACTTCTCGCCAGTAACCTTGAAGAAGGCCTTGGCCACACGCAGATACGGCAGCTGTTGACCAACATTGAGTACCGTCTTGTACTGGTCCTCGCTGAGAAGGTCCTTGCCAACGGCCAGCTTTCTTCGCTCAGAGTCTGACTGGTCGAGGAAATCTTGGAGATCGAAATGGTTCCGTGAGTCGCCCTCAATGGCGTTGGCAATTTCAGGAGTAATGTGCGGCAGCTGGAGAAGAGGAGATGCGTTTGGTGCTACAGCCTGGACGACGTTCTGGGCAGTGTAGTATGAAGTGAGGATGGGCTTGGTGTTACCGTATGCCAGAGAGATGGCAGCGAATGATTCTCGAAGGGCCCGGGCTATCGGAGCCACCTCGTACTTGGACTGGTTCAGAGCGGCATCATCCAGTTCGACACGGCCCAGGTACGCCCAGAGCAGAGCCAGCGCCTTTCGTCGTGGCCCGTTATCCATATCCTCGAGTCGTTCCTTTTCCTTTTCAGGGATGCCAGAAACGTACGGAGATGACTTGTGTACCTCGCTGGAAGCGGCGATTCTTGACTCAATCTTCGCAAGACCGGAATCCGCCTTGTCTCCCTTGAGCAGGTCGGCGTACTCGTCACCAGAGCTGAGGGCGGTAATCGCACCGGCCTCATCCATCTCGTCCTCATACCGACGGAACAGCTTGTTGGCGCTGGACATCAAGACACCCTCCTTGGACATGCGCTGGGTTCCGTACCACCAGGATCCCACCATGTAGGGGAGCAGGACACCAAGAAGGAGCGTGTAGAGCAGGACGACGTATTTGCCGTTTCCATCCTCGACGATGAACTTGGGGAGCGCGATACCGATGCTGAAGCTCTGCTTGCCGTCGGGATGGCCGAACTGGATATAGTTGTTGCGGACCTCCTCGTCCGTCAAGGCCTGGTAGGCCTTGCTGAGTTCTACCCAAACTTGGTTGATGGTCTCGAGGGTCTCATTCTTGGCGGGATCGGGCCTGGCTTTGTCGGGGTGGTACTTCTTTCCCAACTGCCTGTAGTGTGACTTGATTTGCTTTTCTGACGCGGACTAGATGTGGATAGACTTGTCAGATTCCCGTGCGGCCAATGCAGTCTAAGAAAGAGAGTCGCAAAGGGAGGGCGAAGGGGGGGAAGGGCTGTCAATCATACATCTGAAATTCCAAGGATATCGTAAGGGTTCCAGATCTTCTGGACTGTGGGCTGGGTGACCAAGATCAGATAGACCATGGCGCCCATGAGGACCCAGCCCCCGAGGGCGAAGAGGAACCTCGTGAGCCTCCTCTGCTTCCGCTGCTGGGTCGCCCGCACAGCGGCGATCGCGTCGGCATTCTGGGCCCGGTAGTCGGTCTTGATCCGGGGCGCGAGCTTGTCGTCGTCGGTGGAGGAACGGACGAGTGTGTAGGTCAGCGGGATGGTGACGAGCCCGGTGACTGTGAGGATGAAGAAGGGGAAGAATTGGCCCTGCGGACGGAGAGACGGTTAGCACCCAGACAATGCGCCCGGCGGGAATTGGGGACTGGACGAGGACAACGCACATGCTCGTCGTAGGAGTAGTCCGAGCTCATTCTGGCGACGGGGAGAGCTCAGGCCTGCTCTCTGGGGGGGGATGAAGTAAGCAACCGAAAAGAAAAAAGAGAAAAAATGGCGGCAAGGGGGAGAAATGAAGGTAGTGAAGGAGAGAAAGGGTCGCGGGTACACAAAGTTGAGATGTGTCGTGCGTCTCCTCGAGAAAGTCTGGTCGAGGCTGCAATTGCGGATTGTTCAAAGGTGTCCTGTAAATCGGCCCCAGCAGGCGCCTGTGATTGGCCAGGGCCCGGAATAATCGTCCTCCCCCACCGACGTCAGGGCGGAATCACGATTTTGGCGCCACCGTGTCACTTTCCACTGTTCCAGCGCTGTATCTTCAGTCAGTAGGTACCTACGCTTCTCAGTACAGGCTTCCCTCTGCCCAGCAGGCCCAGTCCCCACCTCACTGCCCATGTCAATTAGTGTTGCCTTAAATAGCTCCCGGAGGCAAGACCAGCTTATTTCTGACTGCCATGTCAGCCGGGCTAGAACCTGAGCGAAAGTATCAGTGACCGGTGGTGGCCAAGAGTTCGTGGGAAGACGTCTCCATATCATCGCCTTTCATTGTCCTTATAATACACCAGACGAGTTACAGCGCGATCTGGTCACTACCAAACTCAACTAACAATTACCCAAGACATATTTGGCACAAATCAAGCAGGCATCTACAAAAAGAAAGACCATGTATTGCTAAAACATTCTCCTGTGTAATTAATATTCCCCAGACGCCTTGCTTCCGTGCTGTCTACCTCCTACCGGCCGGCCGTTGGCTGTATATTGTAAAAGAACATATAAAAATGTCTGTCTGTCCAACTTGACCATGTCTGTTTTGTTTTGTCGCAAATTTCTCCAAATATCGAGCCCCTCATCAAGAGGAAGCTAGAATCCTGATCTTCTCAGCATCCTGAGTGTCAAAATTTACCGACTCGTCCTCCGTCTCTCCAAGCGAGTTCTCCGTCTCGTCCTCCTCCAGCCCCGTCATCCCGAGCTGCTCCCTTATCTTACCGATGGATCCAGTCTCTTCCACGTCTGTATCTTCTTCCGTTGCGCTTCCGGGCAGTGATTCGCCCTCAAGCAGGCCCTTTAGATTTTCCTCACTAATAACCGTGTGCAAACTGCCACTTCTCGTCCATGGTCGTGTCTCCTGCCTACCTTGCTCCACCAGCCTCTCAAGCTTGAGTCGGTTGCCGATAAACTTGAGTTTCGGGAATACACTCTGTTTCCCTTCGTGAATCATCCGGGCAAGACGCGTCGCATCAGGGTCGGATAGGATATGGATAAAGTCGGACGGGATCGATTTCGGCCAGATCGTGATGGTTCCGCTAAACTGCTGCAGCCACAGCTGGCTCCAGTCCTGGCCCAGGGGTCGTGGGAGGAGCTCTGCGTGGCGGACAAACTTGAGCCACTTGTTCATGTCGAGCTTGAGGTAGTGCTCAACCGCGGACATGATGTAACCTCCTCGCCAGCCACGTCCTTTCCGGTGCGTGACGGGGTGTCCGACAGAACCCCTTGAGGAGAAGAAGAAGAGGTTAATGTGAGGGTTCACCTGGCTCACGATGGTAAAGTTGACATTGAAGTGGGTGTTGAGGGCCTTGATGGGGATATCGGTCCGCAGACTGCCGTCCTTCCATTTGTGTCCAAACGAATATGGGACGAGTGTGCCATCTGCCAGTTTCATCATGAGCACCACGGGATTAAGAATGCCTGGAACGGCGGCGGAGGCGAGCACAGCCGACCAAATCACACAGTCCGGAGAAGTGAGATAGTTGCAGAGGATGGTCGGGGAGTGAGGATCCGCAGGAACGCAGCTGACGTTCAATATTCGCCCAGTTCGTTCATACGCCTCTCGGAAGGTCATGGATCCTCGCGACCACCACCCACATCGTTTTGCCCAGTCCATCGAGTCGAATCTTGCACCAGTTTTCCACCATCGGGGCACCCAAGTCGTGAACGATTCGCAACACGCAGTGATCTTCGCGGCCAATGCGGGTACCAGCAGCTGGTCAAGTTCCTCGTTTGTCCTTGTTGCGACCAATGCAGCAATGAGGGCCCCACCACTTGTGCCGGTTATAACATCTGGCAAAAGGCCTTGATCCAAGAGGCCTCGTACAACACCAATGTGGTAGTAGGCAAAGGCGGCTCCGCCAGAGAGGCAGAGAGCAGTCCGTCCATAGTTGGCATTGACGTGTTTGAAGAGTACCCGCTTCTCGTCCTTGGTGAGTTGTGTAGTGTTGGCGAGGAATTTCAGACTCTTCTCAGCTATTAAGGAGTCAGTTAGCCACGAGGATAAAGGTAGCTACCATCCAGATGGTTTATCTCACCTTCATCAACGAAATTCTGGACCAGGTTCTTGGTTCCGTAGTAGGTCTGGCTATACAACCGGGCATTCTCAACGCCAACAAAGTTATTCTTGACGCATACCTCAATCAGCGCCCTCAGCTCGCGGGCCTTTTGTCCCCCATCTCCCTCGTCCTTGTTTTCGAACGACTCAGCTGCCTGCCTGGCCTTCCTCATCTGATCCCATGCTCTGCGCACCGTCTTGGAGTCATAGTACGCAAAGTCATTCTCTTCTTTCCAGGTTAGCCTGCCCAGATACAGGTCCAGTTCCTTGGCAGCATCCACCCAGTCACGGTAGTTGGACGTCTCCCTCATATTCGAGCGCAGCCTCTGCCGCTGGCCACGCCAGGTGAAGAACTGCTCGTACGCCCAGATGTACCATCTCGTAGAAAGGTAGGCGATGCTCAGCCCTCCCAGCCAGGCGATCACGAAGAACAAAAGGGGCCACTTCAGGAGCTGGTAAAAGTACCCTTCCCGGGTCTCGTCCTTGGTGCGCGTCCCCAGCAGGCCCTCGACGGTCTTGTTGCGCCTCCGCCGCCTCTTGGTCCCCTTGGTCCCCTTTTGATCGCGGTAGACCTTTGGATTCACCGGAGCCCAGTCGTTCTGCGCAGTGATAAACGTGGGAGTTGCGTGCGTCAAAACCTCTGTCCCTGCGGCGGCCCCACCCGATGCGACGGCGGCAATTTCCTCCTCAAAGGCGCTTCCAACCTGCGAGTCTCGCTTCGTGAAGCTTGGAGAGGCGCACGAGTTGGGCGACCTCACCCCAGATTCATCGATAGGGCTGTGGAGGTGATCCGGCGCATGGAGCGCCCTGTCAAAGGCTTCTAGGTCGGCCTTGCTGATGAACTCTGTATCGATGTCCGGCAGCCTGGAGGGGTCGTAGGCCTCCGGGGGAAAGCCGTACGTGGTCGCATGGCTTTCTTGGAAGCGAACATGCTTCTCGGGCATCTTGGATGGTGATTCGGCGGCCAGAGCCAGGGGCGCAGTTAGAATGCTGCGCTCATTCAGACCTTGGACAGCGTGTGCCAATCAGCACGGAATGCGGTGGGTTCCTGAGCCAGTCTTGGATCTTGAAATATCACAAACGACTGGGTGGTAGCGATACACGTCTGCGATGATGCTGGGACAATGCGACTGGTGTTAAGAACTGAAGACCGATAAGCGCCACCGATGACGTACCTGCTCAGTCCTAGGCGCCCCGTTCAAATACAGCAGCTGCTACAGGCTTTTGTTGGGTCGTTGGGGAGAAGTAGGCGTCTACCCTATACGAAGTGGCCCGACTTGACCACAATTTGGCTTGTGATTTAAGAGAGGATTTGTTTCAGTGGCATGACTCGATATCTCATGAGGCTGTCACGGGGGTTTCTCATTAGCGAAGAGTCGGAGCTGAACCCCGAAGGCGCTCTCAGCTTACCTGCATGCCGTTGTGTTACAGTGCATCAAACTTAGGCTATCAGCTGACGACTAACCCGAAGCACGTGCTCCGAAAGCGGCTCTCCCGTAGTGCATCTTGGATCGAGGCAATGCGCCAGAGTGACATACTCTATATTATCTATTATCAGGAGACAGTGCTACTGCGATGTCTTACTAGACGCCAACTTTCAAGGCCAAACCTCCAGTTCCATCTTCTTGGGGTCAAGCCAGCGATCGGAGTCTTCAGCCAGTGACAGCATTACAAGGACAGGGACCGAGGTGTTTCCATATCTCAGCTTTCCATTACAAGCCACAATATTGAGATGCAACACCTGAAATGTTGCTGAATTGTTGAGGTTGAGATTGTTGTTGCACTTTTTATCGTTACACAGCATAATGCATTATTATCCGACTATGCAACAGCTATGCGTTGCCGAGGTGACATTGCGATCCCTAATTTTCTGACGGCCACCAACTATGGGATAACCGGAGGGTGTGAACCTCTTGCTATAACCTCCGATGATCGACAGGAAAAGATGGAGAGAACTAACAGAAGTGATTGGGACGTCTAGCATCATCTGCGCCCCGCCTCACACTTAGGCACATATCGCAGGGTGGTATTTGCTCCGAACGGCTAAATCTTCGTATTAGCCAAAAACAACTTCTGCCTGTATCTGTATTGACATATTGAAATTGAAGTAGAAAATAGAGATGATGGGCTCTATAGCCAAATGACATTGGAATTCGATGGCTACTGTTCGCTCGGCTGCTAAAAACTACGAGGACGTCAAGCCAAGATGAAGATATCCTCTCTTGTCCAAGGCCTTCTCTCCTCGTTATGCCTCGGAACAGCGTTGGCAGATCAACTCGCCAATTCTACGTATTACAACCCAATCCTCCCAGGATGGCACTCAGATCCATCTTGCATCCGTGTTGAAGATACCTACTTCTGTGTCACCTCAACCTTCATCGCCTTCCCGGGGCTGCCCATCTACGCATCTAAGGATCTTCGTAATTGGCGGCTCATCTCCCACGGCTGGAGCCGCGAGTCCCAGCTCCCGGGCATCAGCTGGAACACGTATGGCCAGCAGGATGGCATGTATGCAGCGACCTTGAGATACCATGAGGGAGAATTCTTCCTCATCTGTGAATATCTCGGCCAGGAAGACGGCATCATAGGCGTTCTGTTCAGGACCACGGATCCATTCAGCGATGATGCCTGGAGTGACCCAGTAACATTCAGTCCTACCAGGATCGACCCCGACATCTTCTGGGATGACGATGGCAAGGTGTATGTCGCAACCCATGGGATAATCCTGCAAGAGCTCAACCTGGAGACTGGCGAGCTGAGCCAGCCCCCAATCTCCCTTTGGAACGGGACCGGCGGCGTCTGGCCAGAGGGACCGCACATTTACAAGAGAGACGGGTGGTACTACCTCCTCATTGCCGAGGGTGGCACAGAACTAGACCACTCCATCACTATTGCGAGAGCCAAGAACATCAAGGGCCCGTACGAAGCATACGCCAACAATCCAATCCTCACCAACCGCGGCACGGACGAGTACCTCCAGACAGTCGGGCACGGCGACCTCTTCACAGACACGGAGGGGAACTGGTGGGGTGTAGCACTCGCCACACGCTGTGGCCCCGAGTACAAGAACTACCCCATGGGGCGCGAAACCGTCCTGTATCCAGCGCGGTGGGAGGAGGGCGAGTGGCCCGTCCTCCAGAACGTCCGCGGCGAGATGGAAGGATGGCCCCTGCCAGCCGAGGACAAATCCGTCCCCGGAGATGGGCCCTTCAACGACGAAGCAGACGAGTTCGACTTTGACGCCTCATCCACGCTGCCGAAGCATTTCGTGCATTGGCGCGTGCCTCGGGATGGTGCCTTTTCGTTCACGGACAAGGGGCTGCAGATCGTCCCCAGCAGGAACAACCTCACGGGCGTCCCTTATTCAGAGACCGATGTATTCTTGACAGGTCGCCGCGGACTCTCCTTCGTCGGTAGGCGCCAAACCCATACCCTCTTTGACTTCACCGTCGACCTGGACTTTACTCCCGCCGAAATCGGCCAGGAGGCAGGCATCACCGTCTTCCTCACCCAAGCCAACCACATCGACGTAAGCGTCGTGCTCCTCAGAGGCGACGACGCAGACAAGACTCCAAAACTCTCCCTGCGTCTCCGCGCCGAAGGTATAGGCGGCCCGCCCCCCGAGAAGATCGTAGCCGTGCCCGAGGACTGGCTCAAGCGCCCGGGACCGATAAGACTGCGCATCCAGGCAAAGGACCCCTTATCCTACGAGCTCTCCGCGTCGAAGCGATGCTCCGGCACACCCGACATCGTGCTGGGCACCGCGTCCTCGGGGTTGGTCAGCGGCGGCAACGGGTCGTTCGTGGGAAGCCTCGTGGGGGCCTTTGCGACCTGCGACGGGGCCGGCGAGGGCGCGGACTGTCCGGGGGGAGGTCTGGCGAGCTTCAAGCGGTGGCGGTATACGCCCGTCGCACAGTTCATTTCTGCTGATGAGTCTGTGCCTTCAAACTAGAAAAGGGGGGACATGCACATTCATGAGTTAAAGGTGGTGGGGGATCTTAGAATCTTTGCTTTCATTCTCTACAATCTTTAAACTCGCTTGCCCCTTTTTTGTTAACCCCCTCATTACAGTCCCATGACGGGTTAGCCTATCCAGAATGAAGAAATTAATATGCGTAAATGTATATGCCGAGAGAACGACAAAGTACCAAAAAATGGCATAGGTTTCGATGAATGAGCTGGTAGCGTCCACGAGGAAGCCATGGGTGAAACGACACCGCAAATTAGTTTCACATCAGCCCATTGACACCTCCCCACAAGACAGCGAAAACCCGTCTAGTAGATTCCGGGGATGATCCTGGACGGAACCTTCTTCTTGTAGGTAACCCAGTCGTCGCCGTACTTCTCCGCACAGGCGACGTCGTCCCTGCGCTCGCGGTGGACGAGCATGAAGGCGAACCAGGCCGAGTAGAAGTACGTGAAGAGCATGCCCCAGCCCCTCAGCTCCCCCTGCATGACCTCCTGCCCGCCCAGCATCGTCTTGACGCCGACGCCCGTCAGCCCGCTGGCGGCCGGGAAGATGACGTATCCCGCGATGCCAGTGGGAAGGCAGAAGGGCAGGGACTGCAGCCAGTCGCCAAAGTAGTTGACGTGGCGGGCCATCCCCCACCAGCCGCTGGTGAGCAGCCTCGTGCCCCGCTTGGTCTGGAGGAAGGTCATGTTGGCGAACTCGGGGCTGCTGGGGTTGGTGCGGAACCTGTTCTTCTGGGAGTTGGCGGCGCGGAAGATGGAGACGCCGACGGCGAAGACGAGGGCGTTGGCTGCGACGCCCGCCCAGCCGAGCTGGACGGGGTAGACGGAGAGGTAGCGGCACTGGGTGGAGTAGAGGAAGGGGACCCAGACGATGTCGCCGAAGCTGAGCATGAAGCCGAGACCGTCCGTGGTGATGTCCATCATGCCCAAGATGCCGGCCTCGGCGAACTGGCCCTCCAGGACGTAGTACGACTGCACGGCGGCGACGACGATGATGCTGTCGGAGAGGTAGCCGTAGTTGCGGTACTGCTGGGCGATGAAGGCGAGGTCGAGCAGGACCCAGCCGGTGAGACCGGGGCGCATCTCCAGCCACGCCTTGACGTCGATTTCTCCGAAAAGAGGAAGAGTGACACGCGGGTTGAGCTCCCGTCCGATGAAGAAGTCGTAGATCAGGTTTCCGGTATGGCCACCCCTAGCCAGCTCACGCAGGTCAGGGTTGCCCTGCTTCACGCTGAAGCTGGCGATGTAGACCCAGATGGAGATGACGTAGGCCAGGATGATGTTGGCCGTCAGGATCTGCAAATAGTTGTCCGTGATGAAGGTCCAGACCACGAAGTCGGCGCCCTGGATGTAGGTGCCAATGGCACAGGCAACCAGCTGCACCACCGTCGCATGGAAGGCTAAGAGACACTTAGCCAATCTGAAGAGAAATCTGACTTGCAGCTCAGGGGACTGGAGACTCACCATTGAAGCGGTACTTGAGAGGCTTGCCAGACTCACGCAGCTTCGTGCCATAGACTTCTGTCGCTGGGAGAACTCGGTACAGGACCAAGTTGAGCAGATAGTAGGCCAGGACCCATCCCGTAACCTTCCAGCTCGCAAAGCCCCAGATGCCGTCCTCCGGCCAGGGGATCTGCGCCTTGAGCGTGTCCCAGGTCAGGGAGCGCAGCTCGAGGAGAGCTGGGGCAGGACAACCCGAGACGTCATTGCAGCCGAGGTACATGACATTCATCAGCACCGGGAGGCCGAAGACAATGCCCGCCGCACCGATACTGACGTCCGATAATCACGCGTTAGCATTGCACCATCTCTCGTATGTCCAATCACCTGAGGTGAGAAGGGGGGTGTGGTGGCAATTGGGGGCGATGAGACTTACGGGCCGCCAAACTCATATTCCGTTGGCGGAGCCATGGCGAAGATAATCAATTGAGCCCTACTGAGCCCTATATCCTACAGCTCTGGTACAGCGTGTGGCTCAATGCTTTGGGATCGGAATTGACAGATGTTCGCAAGTGCACCTCAACACAAGGCGTGAAAAGGGATATGGCACCGGGAGCTCACTACGGAGTAGCAGCTAGTCGCTTCGCGGTAGCGTATCTGGCTAATGACCAAATTACCTTAGCTGGCTCCGAGTCCGAGTACGTGTTATAAAAAAAAAACAAATTTTAAGATCCATCTAAACATTGCATGGTGCTGCCAATCCGCCGGGACCCGCTCGCTGCATGCAAGGATATCCCGATCTTTAGGGTAGGCTGGCTTTTCGGAACCGCAACTTACCGACCAGACAAAACAAACAAACACTGGCACTTTGTTTGCTCGGAACGGTTTGTCTGCTGCCGTTTGGTCACTCAAAGATGCGGATATATTTTAGCATGCTCAGCTTCTTACACAGTAAGTATTTCTTGGGCATGGTCGTGAAAAGCAATGACCACAGAGAACAAGACCACGACTTAGCCGGCCTGAAAATTACTGCTCCGAGGAGAGGAGCCTTTCTCCCAAACCAAGAAATTACCATAAAAAGAAATCCATCGGAATTGCACAACCAACGTTCGCCTAAAGAGAATGCTGAATCTACTCGTAGTCCCAAGTCGCATGCCTCATCCCTACTTCGCCTTCTCCCTACCCTTCCAATGTTCCCCCCCAATCTGCACCCTTCGGGTTCCCGGGCACGAATCACATGCCGAAGCCCCCTTTACCGGGCACATTGCGGCCATCCTTCAGCCGAACTATGCCCCCATCTAGACGTACTGCGATAGCCACCTGATGCCGTCGCCGTAGCCCTGGCGCATCACCACGGAGCACATGAACACCTCGACCGGTCGGATGCCCTCCAGGGGAACCTTGCCCTTGCCGGTGGTCTGGTACATGCCGAGCTGGTGGCGCAGCTCGTCCTCGGAGACGGCGTCGGGGTGATCGATCTTGTTGCCCAGGATGACAAAGGGGACCTTGGAGAGCTCCTCCATGGCGAGGAGCGCGTCGAGCTCGGCCTTGGCCTCGGCGAATCGTTCGTGGTCCTTGGCGTCGACGAGGAAGACGACGCCGCTGACGTCGGGGAAGTAATCTCTCCAGATGCGGCGGGCTACATCATGTTAGCATTTCCGCCATCATTATTCATCATTATGCTCGGTTGTGCAACTGGAGTAGCTCGCAGGGATGTGATGGGGAAAAGGTTGCGTACCCTGCTGGTGACCGCCCAGGTCAAAGGTCGTAAATCGGACATTGCCAATAGCAAGCTCCTCAGAGGCTGCCCAAGGATCGTTAGCTGTCTCATTCTTCTTCCGTGATAAAAATAGTACGGATCGACTCACTTGGGTGGAGGGTTGGCTGAAGGATGGCGACACGGTCGTTCTGCAGTAGCCCTTCGTTAACATGATATCACCGGGTCGAAATCGAGGATGAGCAACTGGCAAAAGCCGGGAACTCAGGGCATCGGCGTACCTTCAGCATGTGAAGCAGAGTCGTCTTTCCTGCATTGTCAAGTCCGAGGAACAGGAGCTTGGCGTGCTTGTTCAGAAGGCCCAGATTGGAGAGCACATCGTAGACTGCAAGTGTCCCACGTGTCAGTCTTGTCGGGCCCGATAAAGGGATTCCTCTCGACGGGGCATCTTACACCAGTTCACGATCCACATGATGAAACAGTATTATCCGCAGTTCTCGAATTAATAATTCTAGGCCGTCTCGGATCGAGGATTTGTCGAATCGTAAGGTGGTGGAGTGAGTTGGTGGTGGGTGGTGGGACGGCAAGCTGGCCAGGACTTGGAGTGACGGTCACAGACCATCGTGGGTGGATACCTTGAATCTCAGGCACAAACTGCCGGCCCATCCCTGGACTGTCGTCACTGCAAGATGACCAGATGAATCGCGAACTCAAACACATGCATCGGTTTTATTATGCCCGATTGCCTGTGCAGGTGCGGCTGAGCCCATCATTCTGTCCATAGAAACCAACTTCCACTATTCTTCGTCCTGAATCTACGTGCCACTGTAAATATGGCTGGGCCACCACTACTGCCAGCAGACCCAAGTAATCGATATCGCAGCTACGTGTCATGATGCCGGAATTGGTTTGTCAAACGGGGCTAGTTGGAAGAAGAAGTAGACACTCACATACACGAGCGAGTCAGCATTTCCCCCGTCGCCAGAACAACACCTTGCTTTCACGAAGGTTCAAGCTCCGCCATGCTGCCTCACCAGCAACAAGCATTTCACTCATTAAAGAAAAGCTGCACAAAGTTGTATGTGGAAATGATGTATTGAAGTAGGAAGGCCTTGGCCCCTACACGCTTGCTTATGAATCTGCGCAGCATCCATGATTCCCGTAGCCGAATGCCCATATATGCTAATATACTTGAAAACGCCCAAGAAAATATATCCGTCCGAAAATATGATGCATGAAGAAGAAAGATGTGAGTAAGAAAATGCCATGATGATCGTTAATGTGTTGATGTTTACCCAGGTTCCCTTGAACATTTGATGGATAATTTTTCCTCTGCGCCGTGCGATGCTATACCATACCTATGGTAGTGACAAAGAAAATAGATCATGGTGGAAGTAAAAGAAAGAAATAACAAAGGTGGGGTTAAACCTTTGTTATCAGGATGGCTGTACAGTAGGTGAAGAGAAGATTAAGCCATCCCTGGATTGATTATATCGATAAAACGTAATTACCTTGGTCTTTCTTGCCAGCCATGAGGAGTCCCAGCTCTCGCATTCTGAGAGCCCCGCGACCTGGCTGGGGTTTTCTCTCTGGGATCTGACCGCGACGAGCTCGGTTGCAGTACTTTTGTTGGAACTTCTCCTTGCGTCTCTGGCGCTTCTTTTCAAGGCCCTTGACAATATCAATCGCGCCGCGAACAGGGAGATCAACTCCGACATATTCGCCCATATAGTGGCGGTCGTTCTTGCGGCTGGTGAAGATTCCGGGTCGTGGCAAGGATTTGGTAATGGTAGGGCCAGGGCGGGCAGCAAGGTTGAACTTGACATGAATGCCCTGGCGGGGAGACCCTCTTGGTGTGACCATTACCCTTGGGGCTGGGGATCTCAGTCTTCGGGGAGACTGACGATCGAACAGCAACTTGGGTGAACGGCCAAGTGGAGAATGATGCTTTTTCGGAGGGGGGGAACGGAGCCGCTTTGGTGGAGGAGAGTGAAGTCGTTTTGGGGCAGGGGAGCGACACTTGCGTGGAGAAGCGAGGTCACTCTTGCGTCTCCTTCTAGATCTGTCTTGCCCGTGATGAATATCTTCCATCTCGCCCACAAGGTCATCATCGCTGTCATGGTGGACAGGATTGTAGATATCCTCATCATCTTCGTCTTCAGGCTCGGATGCCGGGAAGCTGGGGTCAATGTCTTGAGGAATGACACGGAGCTTTTCGTTCCTGCGAGCAGCCAGGCAGGAGAGGTAGGCCTCCTCGAGAGGTCTATCTTCATCCAGTGTGCCGCATACGAAATCAGTGCTGTCTGGCAGGTCAGGAGCTTCAGGCTGGGGTTTGACGCGCTTCATTTTGGTGCGGCGAGGACTACCACCTGTGGTTGTCGATGAATCCGATTGATGTCCCTGGAGTGATGGTCGTCGGGAGACAGGTACATTGAGAGTCGGCCGCAAGCGAGGGCTCTTGCTCAACGTCCAAAGAGCCATGTTTCCATCCTCGGCATCAGACTCGTCTGAATCGGCGAACCCAGTCTCTTCGTCAGTGTGGTAGCCATCAGATAGTTCATCTTCCAGCTCGTCCTCATCGTCGTCAAGGTCTCCGTCCTCAATGTCCTCGTCCTCGTCCTCGTCCTCGTCCTCATCTTCGTCTTCGTCTTCGTCTTCATCCTCCTCATCCTCTTCATCATCAATTGCAGCCTCTTCCTCGACTTCCTCAAGCTCAGCTTCCTCCTCGGCTTCTTTCGCCAGTCGCCGGATCTGATTCTCCTTCACAAGAGTATCATTGATAGTGAGCTTGTGGTTGGCCGAGGTGTTGGCGTGACGAATCCAGTCATCCTCTCTAGACGTTTCGCTTGCAAACTCGTGGAATTGGGATCCATCGTTTACTAGATCGGTTGAGTTGGCACGCAGAAATTTCGGGCGTGATACAGAGTGATCGGAAGAACGGCGAAAGTTGGCTTGGCGAGGGGTGGATGGCGTTGCCGGTTCCCTCTTAGGCGTTGATGGAGAATGCGCATGCTTTTGATGGATTCGGCCAGTCTGTTGAGATGGTGTATTTTTAGAAAGAGGTGGGCGAGTTGGGCAGGCAGCAAATTTGATACAAGTCTTTCGAGCAGGGGCATCCTGAATGGATGTTTGCTTCGTGGTCGAGTCTGACGTAGATGTGTTGTTGTTGGGCTTGGCCCCACAAGCGAATTGGATGCATCGCTTTCGAGGTGGCATTTTTGGCTCGTCATGCGACCTCGCAACCTGAGTCCGACTCTGAACGTCCAGTTGGCTGGGGATCTGGCCCTGAATGTCAAGGCGGTTGAGCCGGGATATCAGCAGCTCGGGGACAGGCGGGCTGGGCGTGTTAGTTCGAGCAGGGCTAGTGAATCCAGTATCGCTTGTGAGATCCGCGGTCGAGGCGATGCTGACATTGCTGGCCATGGACCTCCGTCGAGTAAAGTCGGAGTGCTGAGGAAGAGAATCGTCATTGTCTGATCCTCCCATCAAGGCCTTGGTCAAAAGAGAAGTCTGCTCATTGGGGCGTTTGACCTGAGTTCGGCGGAACCGGTTAGGACTTGACGGTTCGGGAGGCTCATCTACCTCTTCGACATCCTCGGGGGTTTGGGTGGCCCAGGCTGGTGCATGCCAGCTCATTGAAGTAGTACCCATCATGGTGAATTGTATTAAGCCGATAAGCTTAATCTCCTTCAGTACAGCAGGGAAATAATCGGCTCCAGGAGGGTGTGGAAAGCGTGATTAAAAGATGTGATAG